TTATAGGGGAGTCGAAATGCCATAAAAAGCATAATTTTAGGGTTTTTTGACATTTATTCTGCCGTATTTCTGCCGATTTACATGAGATTTGGGATATTCTCACTTTTCATTCATTTTAGGGGGGTCAAAAAGTCAAATAAACCCATAATTTTAAGTGTTTGGGGTCAATTACTTAGCTACGTTTCGACCAATTTACATGGAATTTGATACAGAGATACTCTCTGCAGTTCCCAAACAGAAATGTAAACAATCTTGGAATTTTTGCGTTGTACTCAATATTTCAGTGAGGAAAGTACAATTTGGTGTTTTTGTGAACTATTCATGTGTGTGTCAAGCAACTTATATGGTATTTGATACCATATTTGGTACCTTCTTGCAGGTCCCAAGCAGTGATATAGACGGTTTTCGATTTTTATGTATTTTCCGAATTTTTCTGGTGTCAAAATTGTTCATGTTTGCCTCTTTAATTTTGAAAGTTTCTCCACGTATGACGTTTTTTGTTGATTTTAATATCTCCTGTAAACGTTTAGTGCATGTTGTTTTTATAGTTACCGCAAGAACTGATTGACTAGCAACCATTACTTTCATTTGAATTGTCTCCAAGGTCGTACCAAGAAAACTAGTGTGAGAGGTGCGCCCGCTCCAACCCGTAAGTTTGCATCTTTAAAGGAGGGGCGCAGAATATTTCTCGCGCAGAGTACTATTAATGATCGGCACACCCTTGATTGTCCCTTGCCCTTAAAACTTCGACACTTACAATGTAGAAATGTTTTCCGAAATGTAGTCTTAATTATACTGTAATCCAATGTCAATATGACTGAAATAGGCTTAGACAGTAGGGTATTTGATCTTTAATATTCCATAGAGCAAAACTTTGACTTAATAGTATTATCACCAAATGATTATGCGAGACCAGAAACGTTCATGTAGTCATGCTTTGTTCAACTTACACATGAAACATACACTTCGTTCACGTAATTTAGTTCTTTGTTAACTTACATGAAACATATACTTCGTTCGAGTGATTTAGTTGATATGAACTTACATACGAACATGCACTTCGTCCACAAATATATGTTTCATGTGTAAGTTCATACAGAACTAAACCACGTGGACGAAGTGTATATGTTTCATATAAGTTAACATAAATACTAAATCACGTGGGCGAAGTGTATATTTCATGTAAATTAACATAGAACTAAATCACTTGGATGAAATGTATGTTGCATGTGTAAGTTCACACAGAACTAAACCACCATCCAAGTGATTTATTTCAATGCTAATTTACATGAAACATACATTTCGCCCACGTGATTTAGTTTTTATGTTAACTTATATGGAAGATATACACTTCGCCCACGTGATTTAGTTTTTATGTTAACTTATATGAAACATATACACTTCGCCCACGTGATTTAGTTTTTATGTTAACTTATATGAAACATATACACTTCGTCCACGTGGTTTAGTTCTGTATGAAGTTACACATGAAACATACATTTCATCCAAGTGATTTAGTTCTATGTTAATTTACATGAAACATACACTTCGCCCACGTGATTTAGTTCTATATGAACTTACACGTGAAATATGCAGTTCGTTCACATGATTTTGTTCAGGTTGGGTGACAACAGCTTAGATCGCTTATAAAGCTAACCACAGAGCCACTCTCGTTTTGTTGAAGGAATGTTTTATATGCTTGATTAGAGTAGCTTCGTTTATAGTTAACTCCTCACTACAAGCTGAAGATATAAGATCAAATTGGATCGTTGTAAAAAGCAACTGTTACAAAACGTGTGTTGAACTTTTAAACTATAGAGTTTTGAAATGTTTATTGAAACGTCGGTCTGAATGTTGTTTGTATTATCAGTGTAGCATGCATGACAAGACAGACACGTGCAACTATAGACGACCAGTCAACACTGCTTTTGGGACCTTTCTTTAATCCTGCATAGGCTTCCATTAGAAACGACACAAAGCAAAACTTGCGGGAAAAAAAACAGATACTAATTCTTGTTTTTCTTTTCTTTTAGGCGTATGGGAAGTTGATTCTACAGTTCACTAATATAAAGAAGGCAGCATGTATCTGGACCTGTTCCTTGTTGTTTTTTTTTAGTTCTGGTGCAGTGTTCTTCATCAAAAAATCAACGAGATGAACAGAGCGATCACTTTACAGTGATTTCGTTGCAATAATAATACCACTGTGTACTTCTAAATCGGGTAAAGGGCGTGGCACACACACATAACTCGTAACCTTGAAATTATAGACAAGCTCTGTATTTGTATAACTCGTGGACTTCATCATAAAATAAAATATTTTACCGAATGTGAATAACACTGAAGTACTATGTTCATTAATACGTATAACACTGAAAAACTATGTTCATTAACACGTATAACACTGAAAAACAATGTTCATTAACACGTATAACAATGAAGTACTATGTTCATTAACACGTATAACACTGAAGTATTATATTCATTAACGTGTACATCACTGAAGTACTATGTTGATTAACACGTATAACAATGAAGTACTATGTTCATTAACACGTATAACACCGAAGTACTATGTTCATTAACACGTATAACACTGAAGTATTATATTCATTAACGTGTACATCACTGAAGTACTATGTTCATTAACACGTATAACACTGAAGTATTATATTCATTAACGTGTACATCACTGAAGTACTATGTTCATTAACACGTATAACAATGAAGTACTATGTTCATTAACACGTATAACACTGAAAAACTATGTTCATTAACGCGTATAACAATGAAGTACTATGTTCATTAACACGTTTAACACTGAAGTACTATGTTCATTAACACGTATAACAATGAAGTACTATGTTCATTAACACGTATAACAATGAAGTACTATGTTCATTAACACGTATAACACTGAAAAACTATGTTCATTAACACGTATAACAATGAAGTACTATGTTCATTAACACGTTTAACACTGAAGTACTATGTTCATTAACACGTATAACAATAAAGTACTATGTTCATTAACACGTTTAACACTGAAGTACTATGTTCATTAACACGTATAACACTGAAGTATTATATTCATTAACGTGTACATCACTGAAGTACTATGTTCATTAATACGTATAACACAGAAGTACTATGTTCATTAACACGTATAACACTGAAGTATTATATTCATTAATGTGTACATCACTGAAGTACTATGTTCATTAACACGTATAACACTGAAGTATTATATTCATTAACGTGTACATCACTGAAGTACTATGTTCATTAACACGTATAACACCGAAGTACTATGTTCATTAACACGTATAACACCGAAGTACTATGTTCATTAACACGTATAACACTGAAGTATTATATTCATTAACACGTATAACACTGAAGTATTATATTCATTAACGTGTACATCACTGAACTAATGTAGTAACGCTAACATTTGTTAGTGAAGGAAGATTTTCTTGTCGTTGAAACATAGACAACTACTTTATTCAACACTACTAGTTACATTATTTGGCATAGACAACTACTTTATTCAACACTACTAGTTACATTATTTAGCATAGACAACTACTTTATTCAACACTGTTAGTTACATTACTTAGCATAGACAAATATTTTATTCAACACTGCTAGTTACATTATTTAGCATAGACAACTACTTTATTCAACACTGTTAGTTACATTACTTAGCATAGACAAATATTTTATTCAACA